CAGCAGGAGATAACACATTTTAAATTAAACTAATTTACAGTAAAGGAAGTGTAAACATTAGATGACTTTTTACAGGAAGTGTTTAAGAAGACTGTGTAAATCACATGCAGGGAGGTGTGACTACAGCTACATAAACCTAGTGGTTTAACTCCTAAATGGAAGAGAAATCAGCAGTAAGACTGCAGGGACATGGTCTATACACGAAAACTGTTTCATTAAACTAAAGTTGTTTTGGTGACTATAGTGTCCCTTTAACTCCAGTTAATACACATTACAATTTTTAATAATATAAAAAGCAATCTCTGTTCACTTATCTGCCCCAAACATTATCAGTTAACTGAAAAGGGAACATATGGATTAGAAAGGATGGATCTTTCAAAGAAAGCACTTGAGAGGTATATCAATGTTCTAGACTGATGGCAAAAGCTTCAAATATATATAATCCAATAAGAACTTCAAGCTATCTAATAAAACATTTGCTTCCATAGAATATGAGAGAACAGCTACCTCCACATATATACCACACACACACAATCTGTATTGAAATTAGTAGTTTTTCATTTTTAAATTCAAGACATGTACATTTTTTATTTTTTTAAAGACTAGGTTACATCACAAAATTAATGTTTCATAAAAAAATATAAACTGTTAGCAATTTTAACAAACGTTGATGACTAAACAACAGTTTGTGATGTCACTTGTTACAGAGAAGGGTGAATAGTACAGCAGTACGTTTAAAAATATATTAACGAACAAAATACCAAAAAATACATAAAAATGCTGTTTTTGCCATAAGTTCATGGTGTTGGACAATATATATATATATATATATATATATATTCCTTTCTGATTATAATAATAGAATTTGAGCTCAATGTGATTTCTGAACATCTCAGCCAGTGACTAAAGTTTAACACTGAAACATATACATAAAAGGCACTGTTTCACATAGTCTAAACACAGACACTCTGGTATACATAATGATGTGCAACTACACAATCACAAACTAGATAATTCTAAAACCAAACTCCATAAAGGATTCCAGAATGTTCTAGAACACCGACATGGTAAACCATTTATTTCTAGTTATCTGATATGATGGTTATTTATTTATAATTCTCTCTCTTTTTTTTTTTTTTTTTTATTTAATTTTTTTCTTTTAAATGAATCTATTTTTAAAATATATTATTTATTTATTTTGAGTGGTACATAGTCTAATTGGATATGAGGCATGTACGGAGAACAGCAACCTTCCAAGGACAGTTTCAGTAACACTAACTCCTGGCTACATATATGTCAATCTGATGCATAAGAGTTCGGTTCAATAACCCAGAATGCTATAAATAGGCTATGATTCAGAATATACAGTTCTTGTAGATGTACAACTACAAGCTGACTCTACCACAAGAAGAAAAGGGCACCGAGAAAGGCAGGTGCTTCACTATTCCAGATATAGATGGAAAATACTGATTATGGGAATAGATTGTACAATTAGGTAACCGTCTGTGTACATCTAATGAAGTCCATGCATTAGTAATTCTCAGCTCTGATCCTCAGGGAACCATAAACAGCCTCAGCTTAAGCATATTCTCTTGTGTATTGTGTTTAGTCAACCAGTGACTTGGTCATTAAGTCCCACAAGTGAAGTCAGATGTACAAGAAGAATTGACTTCTTGCAGATTTGTAACAATGCATATGCCTACTTTAGCCCTTTAAATAATAAAAAAAAAAAAGCAGTGAATATTGCTTGCTGCATTGTGCTTTTTGCAAACCATATGGTAATCTTGATTACTTTCCTTATTTAGCATAAGCAGCTCAATCATGCCAAGCAACCATAAAATCAATAGAAAGTTCCTTTTGTATATATAAAAAAAATAAAAATAAAAAAAATTCACATATCCTAATCAAAATGTGAAGTTATTAAGATACTACTTATTGTATTACTACTACTACTTATTATTAAAGAACCACTATAGTCCCAGGAAAACAAACTTGTTTTCCTGGCACTATAGTGCCCTGAGGGTTCCCCCAACCTCAGGGTCCCACTCCCGTGGTGCTGAAGGGGGAGGAAGGGGTTAATCCCTTACCTTTTTTCCAGTGCCGGGCTCCCTCGGCGCCGGGGACTCTCCTCCCTCTTCTGACGTCCCTGGCTAATGCACATGCGTGGCAAGAGCTGCGCGCGCATTCAGCCAGTCCATAGGAAAGCATTCTCAATGCTTTCCTATGGACGCTGGCGTTTTCTCACTGTGAAAATCACAGTGAGAAGCGCGGAAGCGCCTCTAGCGGCTGTCAATGAGAGCCACTAGAGGCTGGATTAAGCCATAGGTAAACATTGCAGTTTCTCTGAAACTGCTATGTTTACAGCAAAAACGGTTAAACCCAGCTGGACCTGGCACCCAGACCACTTCATTAATCTGAAGTGGTCTGGGTGCCTATAGTGGTCCTTTAACTGGCTAGGTGTACGAGATGAAAAGGGTTAATATGACTTGAAAAATGATTAAATGAAGATGAACCCAAACTTTTTGCTCAGCTCTACCCGCAGATTGATGATTAATCATTCATTATTCCAGGCTCTATGCCTGCAGGCATTATGCACTTCAGCAAGATCCTTCCAGCTGTCCCTCCAGCATTACTACAGGCCTGACTACAGCTAGAGGCACTGATGGTTGGCCATTTATCTACCAGGAAGTCATGTACAGCTGCTCCATACACATACTCTCATACAGGGTTGTTCATTAAATGGGAATGGACTAGAAATTAAAAAAGCTAAAATAGTAGAAAAAAAGAGAGCGTAAAGGTAAACTATTGTGTCAGGAAAACAAACTTGGTAAAAAACCTTCTGTCACTTACCTGGGTCCAGCGCTGATGTCTCTTGGCGCTGGCTCGGTCTGTGTTCACTCCTCCCCTGCCAATATCAGCCAGCGAGGGAGAACTAAAGTGCATGCGCGGAATTGGCTCTATCTATGGAGGATTACAAGGTCTCGGGAGTACAGCCATGAGATAAAGGTACCACCAAAAGGTGTTCAGATGAGTTAAACTCATATTTTCTGCCCTCCCTTCCCCCTGGATCATTAGCGGCCAAGTTTACCGTGGGTGTTTGCAAATGGTGCAATTTCCCCAGACAGTGACAGTTCCATTTTAAAAGGACACTATAGGCACCCAGATCGCTTCATCTAACTGAAGGTCTGTGTACAGGTCTGTGCAGTGCCTCTGATCCCCTAGCCCTGCAGCTGCAAACATTACTTACATTGCAGTGCTAAGACTGCATCTAGTGGCTGTCTACCCAACAGTCACTAGAGGCACTTTCTGCAGTTTGACTATATAAACTAATATATGTGTGTGTTGACTATATAAACATAGGTACATTCTTTATTCTCTTTAATGTGCAAGCAACCATGGTTGGTGCAATACCAATTACATATGTAAAGCTACATCTGATATTCCAATGGATATGGAGTTGACATAGTCATATAAATAACCCAGGCACTGTATACTAATACTCAATCTGCTGCACACTGATTAAGGAAAGGTGACTGCACTGTACCATCATATAAAAGTCCCCCAATTTATTAAAACATAATCTGGCAATACTTATAGTGTTCAAAACATATGTGGAAGATTGTAGATATATTTAGTCAATATGTCACAGAATTTAAGATAATTTCACTCAAATTATATGGCACGTCTTTCTGAAATAATTCAATGATTAAAATGTTAAAATGTCACTTCTCCCTTTTGTTTTTTAAAGTCTGAATATTAATAATGCGCACATCTTCTATAAATCAAAACCGATGTGAAGAAATATATGTTCTAAAATCCACAACATGTTTTAGATTAGTAGATGAAAGGTCCGTGGTTTAAATCTCCTTATTGCCCAGAGGTATTCATTTAAAAACTGGAACACTTTAAACCTAGTGACTTCATAGCATTCATTTCATATGTACTATTAGGGGTAAACTCTGTCCCAAAAGCAACCTTTGTGATTAGTATTCTTGATGTAGCTTTAAAACATTTTTCATAATATTTCCTGGTGAGTTGCTTAAATAGGAGTATAATTTAGGGTGACGCAGGCTTACTAGGCATATCTTTGTCACAAACACAATGAAGGTGTAGTTACCAAATTATTTAGGACATTCTTCTCCGATTATCCTGAGTAATTGAGTATTCAGTAATTTTGTATTCACCACACCGCCCCAGATTTTATTTAATTTAACTCTTAATACATAGACCAAGGAAATTTAGAGGTGTGGTCCTACCTTAGGAATCTTTCTAACAGTTCTTTTTATATCTATATAATTTATTGAGACAATTTTTACACCCAATTTTCAGGTCATACAGTCAATTCTCCTAACATGTGTGAATGAATGAAGCGAATTAGCAAAATAAAGACTACGCTGGGCCTGCAACAGCTCCACTCCAGCCTACTGAAGGTGTTTTTTTTTTGGTAATAAAAAACACATATGGAAGCACTATCCGCAACATCCATTGTGAAAAGTGGTGCTGAAGATGGGCCGAACAGGATACAAGACACATTTTAACTTCTCTTTGAAACTCAGCCAATAATGTGTATATGACATTTGTGAACGGTGAAGGAATGGGACATAAAGTAATGATTTGCTGTGTACTGTACTATTTTACAGTGCTGCCCAGGAATTAAACATGGTGGAACTGCATAAAAAATTCTAAAGCTAAAGAACTCACAGTATTTCTAAGCTGTTTCTCGGTGAGAGTGCAGAATCTGTCCAGCAGACAAAAACTCAGAAAAGAAAACTTGATCTCTTGCAGTATTTTCAAATTAGATGTACGGTTGGTATTTCTGTTTGTCTTGTTTTTTGTATAGCCACCAATCTGCATGAATAGGCAGTAATTTTCCTTACCTCTTTAAGTGCCAGGGCTCTCTGTTCACTGCTTACCTCTACACCTACTGCAATATCATGGATATCATAGAGGAGCACTCGGGAGTAGTGATGTCGCGAACCGTTCGCGGCAAACTCCGGTCAGCTGACACATCCCTGCCAATCTCCGGCAGACCCTCCCTCCCAGACCCTCCTACTTCCTGGACAGCATCCATGTTGAAGGCAGCTTCAACATGGATGCTGTCCAGGAGGTGGGAGGGTCTGGGAGAGAGGGTCTGCCGGAGATGGTCAGGGATGTGTCAGCTGACCGGAGTTCGCCACGAACTGTTCGTGGCGAACCATTCGCGGCAAGTTCACTCACGGTTCGCGACATCACTACTCGGGAGCTGATACACATGTGCGCATGCATCCAGATTCCCTATAGGAAAGCAAATGAACCAATGCTTTCCTATGGTGGCTCCTATGCCACGTGACCAAGTTTTACTCCATCAGTGCCACAGAAGTATGGCAAATACTAGAGGTTGATTTGGAATGTAAGGGAATAAAACTTGTTTTGACTGGGTGAATATAAATTAGTTTAAGGGACACTATAGGTACCCAGACCATTTCAGCTCATTGAAGTGGACTGGGTGCAGTGTCGCAGCATCCTTAACCCTGCAAATGTAATTATTGCTGTCCCAGACAGCATTCCTGAAGTCTCTGTTCAGCCTACTAGTAACAAGGGATTGAGAGATGTTGGACAATTGTGTGCTAGAGACACCAGGAAATTGATCCCAGAAAGTGGATTCACACCGAGCTCAGAGCACTCAAACAGCTCTGTCTACATAGTACACCTTTAGTTAACTGGCCTGCCTGATTGGCAGCCAGCCTGTCATGCATTGACACCAAACTGACCTTCAAATTCTTTGGGCTGACCTGCACCCTTTTCCAGGTAGGATTGCCCCTTTGAGCGTTGCCAGTGACATGATTTGTAAGTCATGTAATTGGCCCATCTCCTTTTAACCCGCCCATCAAAATAGTGCTTCACAGAATGCCAATGTTGGGGGGATGTGGATTTGGTTTGGAGATGAATGCAAGATATTAGCATAGCATTCTTAGAAGTGTTTCTTCTGTTTTCTGTTGATAAGATTCTGTAATTAGGTCCATCATAATTGTCAGCACCAAGCCCAATGGGCTCCTAATCCAGCCCTGACAGTAAACATTTCAGTTTCCAAAAAAAAAAAAAAAACTAATAAAAAACCCAGAAATGCTTTACATTGCAGGGTTAAAAGGACAGGAACAAAGCACCAAGACCACTTTATTGAGATGAGGCGGCCTGGGTGACTTTATTGGTCATTTAAGGGTGTTTATAAAAAGATGTGCAAGTGTCAATTCACTGCATAGAATGTCTTTGGCAGGTTATTAAAGGGTTCTCTGGTAGGCTTACTTTAGAAAGTTACAATTTTCACATTTCATTTGTCATTCCTGATTCCAGCTGAAAGGGAAAATAGCTACAAAGAGTTCTAAAAAGCCAGGAACAGATACACTCATGTCCTTAGCAGGAAACACATTCAGGAAAAGGCTGTGCTTTGCAGTCAGGGAACTGACCAATTTTCTTTTAAACTGCCATTAGGATGTGTGTGGTCATAAATAAATATTGATTATTACATAGACCATAAGGGAGCATCTAAACTCACTGGAACCTAACTGCATAAAAGCATAGAAACATAGAATGTGATGGCAGATAAGAACCATTTGGCAGATCTAGTCTCCCCAATTTTCAAAATACTTTTAATTAGTCCCTTGCCTTATCTTAAGTCTAGGATAGCCTTATGCCTATCCCACACATGCTTAAACTCCTTTACTGTGTTAACCTCTACCACTTCAGCTGGAAGCCTATTCCATGCATCCACTTCCGTCTCAGTAAAGTAGTACTTCCTGATATTTTTAAACCTTTTCCCCTCTAATTTAAGACTATGTCCTCTTGTTGTGGTAGTTTTTCTTCTTTTAAATATAGTCTCCTCCTTTACTGTGTTGATTTGCTTTATGTATTTAAATGTTTCTTTCATATCCCACCTGTCACGTCTTACCTCCAAGCTATACATGTTAAGAACCTTTAACCTTTCCTATCCTGCAATCCATGAACCAGTTTAGTAGCCCTTCTCTGAACTCTTTCCAATGTATCAATAGCCTTCTGGAGATACAGTCTCCAGTACTGCATACAATACTCCAAGTGAGGTCTCACCAGTGTTCTATACAATGGCATGAGCACTTCCCTCTTTCTACTGCTAATACCTCTCCCTATACAACCATGCATTCTGCTAGCATTTCCTGCTACTCTATTACATTGTCTGCCTACCTTTAATTTATCTGAAATAATTACCCCTAAATCCCTTTACTTAGATGTTAAGGTTAGAAGGGTATCAAATATTCTATACTCTGCCCTTGGGTTTTTACGCCCAAGATGCATTATCTTGCACTTATCCATGTTAAATGCCAGTTGCCACAGCTCTTGGCATTTTTTGAATTTCCCTAAAACATTTGCCTTATCCGTCCTGGAACATCAACCTGTTGCAAATTTTAGTATCATCAGCAAAAAGACATACCTTACTATTAAGACCTTCTGCAATATCACTAATAAAATATTAAAGAGAATGAGCCCCAAGTACAGATCCCTTTGGTACTCCACTGGTAACTAGACCTTGCTTCAAATATACTCTGTTGACTACAACCCTCTGTTCTTGTCATTCAGGCACTGCCTTACCAATTCAACAATATTGGAATCCAAACTTAAAGATTGCAGTTTATTGATGAGCCTTCTATGTGGAACAGCATCAAAAGCCTTACTGAAATCTAGGTAGGCAATGTCTACTGCACCACCCCGATCTATTATTTTAGTTACCCAATCAAAAAAAATCAATTAGTTTGGCATGATCTCCATGAAGTAAACACATGTTGTCTCTGATCTTGAAATCTATGTGATTTTAGATCTTCAACAATTCTGTTCTTTAACATGATTTCCATCAATTTCCCCACTACTGAAGTCAGGCTTACTGGCCTGTAGTTGCCCACCTATAGTTTTCACCATCTTGAATCATTACTCCAAAGTATCATTGCTCTCTCAAACCAATGATTTAACCCATGCAAGAATCAGACCCAACAAATGTTTAAAAGGGGGGGGGGGGGGGGGGTGTGTGTGTGTGTGTGTGTGTGTATATATATATATATATATATATATATATATATATATATATATATATATATATATATATATACACACACACTGCTTAAACATTTGTTGGGTCTGATTCTTGCATTTATTTAACTAGAGAATGTGTTTATCTGTTGAATGGACAGAAAATAAGATAAAATCTAATGGTACATTTCAACAAGTCGTGGATAATAATATTCATTATTTCAGCATGTTTCCCCCCAGGGGTTCTTAAAATATTTTACTTTGCTGGGATGCACAGAAAGCATTTCATAGTTTACATTGGGGATACCTGTCTGCAGTACTTGTGAAATTCAGTTTGGACCTGACAATCACTTGTACTGTCATGGTCCTATAAATCATTTGCTCTGCAACAGTCCTAGGTCAGCTTCTCATCTATTTGTCATGTCTACCAGGTTCTTGCCATAAATCATTGCCCAGTGTTATATTGGTTCTACAACCAATATAAACCAGTATCTTCAGTTTACAGACTTAGTTGACAACAATGTTCCCCCCCAAAACCAAAATCCCTTTACAAAACAAGTTTCCTTATAAGTCACAATTTGTTAATCGATGCATTCAAAGGTGACAAAATTTGCAATTATTCACTCTAAAATTGTATTGGGACACACTACTTTTATACAATAATATGAACTTTCATTTTCTACTAAATCAGTTTAACTCTTATTATACAAACAGGGATAACAAAAAGAGTAAGAGATAAATTACAATGCACAACATAATGCACAATAGCTGATCAAAGCAAGATGCCAAATAAAACAAATATATCTATAAAAAACACTCCCCCCCACCCCCCCAAAAAAAAAATACTTTTAATTTGTTAAGGGGGGGCGGTAGCTGAAAACAAAACAAAGTTACACACATATCCAAATAGTGCCTAAATGACTAATATGTTACACAATAACATAATAGGTACAAATCACACACAGACAGTAAAATTACCATTAAAATGTATGTATATGAAAAGGGTGGGTGAAGAGAAAAGTCAGCATATTTCAATATTCTCCTCATTAGAAAGGTCTTTGTTAGCTTTTAGTCCTGTTTAGTGTTCCTGTTACAATGTTCCCAGTAAAAGGACCAAGTCTAAATATCCTTTAGTGAGGCAGGGCTGTTCTTGTTACAATGTTACCAGTAGTATATACACTGCTCTGGTACATTCCACCTCCCCCTCACTCAGTATCAATACACAGATGTCCAGAGCTGCCTGGAGAGGCCAATAGCTGCTCCCTCGCTGTATCCATCTTACCTGCAGCTCCCACTCCCACCCGGACCGCAGCCACTCCGATTCCACGCAATAGATGTGAAAATAAAATGTGCTTCTTACCCTTCACCTCCTTTGTTGCAGAACAAGGCACAGTCAAAGCAAGCAATCTCCAGTAAGGTTTCCTCCCAGCTCTGTTCAATCAGGACAGCCCTCTGCCTTCCCGAGCATCATGTAAACAGCTTGTGGATTGGCTGTCCTTGGCCACCCCAAGTGATTGGGCCATTTGCACAGGGCTGGGATAGGCCACATTCATTCCTCTCTGCTAAGGTTCTAAACCCATTCTCTGTCGTTCTGTGGGCTGAATACAGCTGACAGGGAGAGATGAAACAATAGGAGCAGTTTGATTTTTTTTTTTTTTTTTTAAATTTACTCTCTCCCTCCCCCTGCCTCACCTCTGTATAATTACATATCCAGTCACCGTGACAGGATGATGCCATACGGTTTAGAAAATAATACAAAAAAGCTCTGTACTTTGCATAGAGAGGAATGGACAGATGAACAAATATAAGATTTCTCTAAACTTTTTGAAATGTTAATTTATATATACTGCGTACCAAAAATGTGTATTTCTCTGAAATTCACACCAGAGATTGGTCGTTATTTTTTTTTTAACTTTTTTGTTGAAGTACAAGCTTTGCAAGTGCATCTGTTGCAGAAAAAGAACTCCTATGCTGCTTAGCCAGTTGAGAGGGCAACAAAGAATTATAAGAGTTGTAGCTGTAGGCGATCTGCTTTTCAGTATACCGCCCCTCCTAAGTATTTTGGTGCAAGTGTGTCCTTAACCCCTTAAGGACCAAACTTCTGGAATAAAAGGGAATTATGACATGT